AATTGACCAATCAAAATGAACTTAGTCAATTGTAGTTCCATACATATAAAACTGATTTTCCTTTCTTTTGAGAATTTTTTTTTTTATTTCCTTCCAGGCCATTTTGACAACTCTGCTTCCTGTGCCTAGTAAATTTTATGTACTTTGTAAATAAATCGAGGTTTTTGACAGGAACTATTTCTTTCAAGGCATAGGAGGCTACTTCCTTTGGTGTTTTTGAGATGTTTATAAAGACATTGAAAACACGTGGATTTGAGGGTAGCCCCGTTTGCAGATGGACAAAATAAGAAAATGCCGTGTACGTACCCTGGTTTTTGGGTGTCAGCTAATGTGACAGGTATTGTTTAACACCTCCTTATTAATATTTGTTCATGAATTCAAATACCTGATTTTTTTTTACGGGGAAGAAACGTGTATTGCTTTTTAATATACCGAAAATCGCTATTTCTGTAGATTGTTTAATTCTAAAAAAAAAAATTCAAATAAATTTCAAAAGTAAAATAAAAGAAGAATGCTTGGTATTAAAATATTATTTCGTATCAGTAGAAATGAATGCTATTAACGACATCTGAAGAAATAGGCTATAAAAGGTTTATATCATATCTTTTTTCATCTGCACTTAAATTTCAAACACGACAGAATTTGTCATTTTTGCCGTAAACATTCATAATTTCTATGTACTTTAGAGACTCACCGTAAAACTTTCAGGAAACTTTCTATGAGGTCTTTTCTGCACTTCCCTGAAATTTTATGTGATCCGAGGTGTCGTTTAAGTTTTAGAGAAAATTTTCTAGGTTGCTATTAATTTTTTTATTATAAGAAGGGGGGGGGGGGGTGGTACTTAGTGTGTCTAAGCATTTGTTAAAGTGAGAGTTGTAAATACTTCCACAAACTTAAGCTTGATTGTGACCTTTGGGTGAAGGGGTCAAAGGTCAAGGTCATTAAAAAATCAAGTATATTAGTCGATTTAGGCATTACACGTGCGTGCACGTGTATGGATGTACATGATAACCATGTCATCTTGTCTTCACTATAAATACTTCTTTTTATTCTGAGTATTAAAGCTTGTCATCAAAAAATGTAAAAGTTATAGTTATATCAAATAAAAGTACCATTTTAGCACTGCATGCGCGCACAGGTGCATGTATGTGCAAGATGACTGTGTCACCTTGTCTACACTATTTATACATATTTTTATCTTCAAAATTAAAAGCATTACATCAAAAAATATAAAAGTTCGACTAAATAAATTTTATTGGTCATTTAAGGAATTGCACGCGCGCGCACGTGCATGCATGTGCATGGAGAGTGTATATGTCTCTGACGTCATCGATACTATTTCCGCTTTTATCTCGAAAGTTCTATTCTCACTTACAAGTCAGAGTTATCTTTCTTTGCCCACTGTATACACACTAGGTAAATAGGGAAAATGACGGTACCGAAAATCTCCAAAATGTGGAATCTGATTTCAAAACAAATTATATATTTAGTATTTGTAGAATAACCTATGTTATACATAATAATATCTTGAAAAAATATTAAAAAACAAAAAAGTTGAAAATTGACCAAACACAAGTTCACTTCCGGTTCGAACAGGAAGTACCGGAAACACACGAAAACAACTTCGAAACAAAGAGAACGTCATGATCTAATACTCCTGTAAATTTCACATCTTAACCTCAAACCGTTTCCGAGAAAAATTCCGGACAAAAGTCCATTTAAAAATTGGAAATTCGGCCATAACTTCGGACCGGAAGTGAGTTTTTCAAAAAACGGAATTTTATATAAACTTCATATATCAGCCTACTATCATGTGAAAAATTGTGAAAATCTATCCAACCATCTCTGAGTAATCGCGCTCACAAAATTTGGGAGGAATAATAATAATAATAATAATAATAAAAAGAAACAATACAATCACTATAAGTCTTCCGTTGTGAACGGAAGACTTAATAAAAAGAAACAATACAATCACTATAAGTCTTCCGTTGTGAACGGAAGACTTAAAAAGAAACAATACAATCACTATAAGTCTTCCGTTGTGAACGGAAGACTTAATAATAATAAAAAGAAACAATACAATCACTATAAGTCTTCCGTTGTGAATGTAACAATCACTATTATACTTGTACATATTATTTGTATTTCCCGCGTTTTGTCCCTATGCCCCATCTACCCATAAGCCCTTGCAAAATAGCTTGGCCGACCAGAACAATTGAGGCCTGGTCATTCCCGGCAGAGAAGCGTAGCTGCAGACACGTTTCTAAGTGTACATGCAAATAGCTGCCATACAATCAGTATCTTGGCTTTGGCACGGAGACAGGTCCGTGGTAAGTATTTACTTATAATATTAATATTCGTTATGTATATAGTTTTTTTTAAAGTAAATTTATTACTGAATACGTATTCGTTCTTATTTCTGAACTTGGCCAGCTCTCACAATTTTACCTGTTGTTCAGTCAGGTGTGACGGTTAGCGAGAGTGTTCGAATGGCTTTTGTATTATATCGATAGAGTTTAAAGGTGCTATTGTACGCAATTTTCTTGTATTCAGATTTGTTACATTATGTGAAATATTTTGTCATTTAAATTTTGGTTTAAATGTCTGGGCGGAAGTGAATGACCGGAAGTCGAAAGTAAGGTGCGCCATGTTGGCAATAATTTGTTTTGACTTATGTTAACTGGTAACCATTATAATTTATACCTATTGATTGATTTATTTATTTATGAGAATGAATTGCCAAACATAGTAGTGTTGCCAAACATTATTTAGTGAAACATGTGACTTAAAAATATTCGTCATTGTAGCGTCAAGGACACTGGTATGACCTGTGCTGAATACATGCACTGAGGGGATCCTCGAGACACAGCGAAAGGTTCCAGGACTAAGGCCCGGAAGGATGCTGTGTGTGGAACAAGATTCACTGGGGGTGGACAGATACAGATAAGTCAATCCACGTAACATTGTATTAGCTCGTTATACGAACACTGACGAAATGGCAAACTTAATGATTTCATTCCTGCATCGAGGATGAGGATGATGATGTTGACGAAGATGATGTTGATGATTATGACAAGGATAATCATGGATCGGTGAACATGTTTGGCAATGATACTTTGAGTGAAATCTATACCCGGGGTTAATTGGTTAATTGTTTGATTATTGGTTACCCAATTGCTATTATTATTTTTTTTTTTGGTTTAATAGTGTGGAAGAGTGTGTGGATCAGAGTGTGGTTGTCTGTTTGAAATCTTCTTTATTATTATTATTATTACTTTTTTGTAAATACATTTATTAAAACTTAGTTGAATTTGTGTGATTTTTGGAGATAGCCAGCTTGACCACGTGACAGTGAACAGAAGACTTAATAAGAAACAGAGTAAAAACAATATGTTCCCAAACTTCGTTTGGGGAACATAATTAAGAATTTCTTGTCACAGATTGCAAATTGAAGTGGGAAGATTTACCAACATTCCTTGAGAAGATCGATTATGCAATAGATGTAATTCTAATAGTGTAGATGATGAAACTCATTTTTTGATAATTAACATGTAAAAAATATGATCATCAAAGAAAAGAAATTTTTCAGTCAGTTAAAAGTAAATTTCCAAATTTCTCGGCATTAGATGATGAACAAAAAGTTTTTGGTTACTCAATACTGAAGACAAAGAAACTCTTAATTCTGCGGGCAAATTCATAAATGATAACATGTTGTAGTAGCCATACACTTTTATATATAGTATTCCCATTGACTGAAAGAGTACAATATTATTGTTGAAATGAGCAATGTCATTTACAAATTGTTTTACTATCCATTGGCATATCTTTTCTTTATTATTGTAAATATTTCATACTTGTCTGTTATGGGCTCTAAATTAGAAAATAAATGTTCTGTTCTGTACTTAACACATTTATGAAAGTTCTCAAGTGTCTTTAATTCCTCTGTCTACATTTTGCATAACACTAGCTCATTACAACTTATTTATATTATATTTCCATCTAAAGGTCCATTTACCTTTATTGAAAACTATCCACTACCTTCAACAAAAGTTTATTGCATGCAGTCCACACTCTGACTAAGTTAAAACATATTGCCCTTCCACCCTTAATAACTTGGCTTTTTTTCACCTGAAGTGTGGACAGAACTTGTTCTATGTCCAAAAATCATTCCATTTTAAGGGGGCCGACTGGGGTTTTCATTGCGCAATACTTCGCGCAGCATCGTAAAAGAAAGCGTATTTACTCTTTTAAAGCAACTATTTTTACATAATTTATGAAAATTAACAAATTTAGGAAATCTCAGGTGAAAAAATCTAATTACGTTTTTAAATAACTGATTTTTTAACGATTTTTCAAATGACGGGTAGGTAGACGTCGTAATAGTGTGTTTTTGACGTTATGATTAAACGAAGTTCTTTAAGCGGGGTCATTAATTATGCCAAAAAATAAAAAGTATAAAATATATGCTCTTGAAATTTTAAACATATGAAATTGAGAATCTAACAATCATTTTTATCATTTTTTATGTAAATTTGTGTTATCTGTCATGTTTTGTTATACTCCATAAAAACAGGAAAATATTAGGAATTTTGACATTTTGAGATGCCCCCTCTGGAATCCAGGCGGAAGAATTTTGTGTTTCTTGCACAAAATGTACAATATAGTGTTACCGATCAAATAATTTAATTTGAGCAAAAAGTCTATAGTAGCATTTGTATAATTTGCTCCGAAGTGCGAAAAAATGGTATTTTCCTATATAATCCTATAGTAAATGTACCTGTATTTTGAGATGGTCCCTAAAAAATAACCAGACGGTAGATTTTCACTAAACTTGGCATGTATACTGAAGTCAATGAAAGGTACATATGGTATAAAATTAAAGAGTTTCTCTATAGTAGTTTTCACACAATAAAACCCCAGTCGGCTCCCTTAAGTGACATAAAACAAATTCCTTACTTTTACTTAATTATATCTGTTTCATTTCTCTCAGTTCCACTTACCCTGACATAGTTCTGTGTTTTGTATTTGTTGGCCACATCCTGAAGATACAAAGGATTATAGAACTCAAAAAGAGAATGGTAAACTCCAAAGTGAATGTCTGTTCTGTTCCTTATAGAGTCTGCTAAGGCACCTGTCAAAGGAATGTTTAGTCAAAGACGTAGTTTTTACAATTTTAACAGAATTTTACAAAACTGAAAATATAAACCATGCAATGTATGGTAAAGCGTTGACATTTATTATTCTTACCAACAAGGTCCCTGTGTGGCCCCACATCATATGCATTCCAATTCCATGAGACAGAAGATGGCCATAGCGTGAAACCTTCATGATGCTTCGTCACCAGTACAACATATCTGACAATATCATAATACAAATTTGTGGTGGAGTTGTAAAAAAGTTTTAAACATTATCGGATAATTTTTCACAGGGTTTTGAAACAATTTGAACAAAAATTGGTATATATGTATACCCAGGGGCCTATATATAGGTCCCTGGTATACCCTGTGCAGTATATAAATATATATAGGCCTATATAGTGTAAACCCCATACTAACTTCGCACCCGACGCCTGGAAGACATCAGCCCAGATGTCAGGATCATAAAATGTGGCATGGAATTCCGGTGCAAAATCCGCATATGTGAAATCAGGAGGGTAGTTGTCTTTCATAAATTTCAATACAGCTGGATCTTTGGCTGTTTTCCATTCATACCAAAACCAAGCGTTTTCAAACGCAGGTACAGAGAAAACGCCCCAGTGAAGAAAGATTCCAATTTTTGATTTGTCATACCAGTCTGGTAATGGTCTAGAGTCTATTGATTTCCAGTTTGGTTCATATTTTATCGAAATCACTACATAGAAATGAATGGACACGATGAAAATTTTAAAGGGCTTCATTTCTGTCCAACAAAATTATGGGCTCTCTCTCTCACATGATCTACTTTCACTTTCTAGAGAACCCTACTAGAGAACTCCAGGTTTACTTGGTCAATTCAAATAAATTTTATGCATAATCGAGTTTATTTTTTATTTATAAATCATATTCCATCTTTTAAACCAATAACAAGATTATTTTATGGATATTTTCCCTCGAAAAAGTTGAAAACGTAACAAAATAGATTAATGTAATATTTTATGTCATCCGATCCCGAATGAATTAAAAATCAGATCTTTTGATCCGCTCACAAAGATCGCTACTGTAGCGATCTATATGGGCGGAACAAAGTATCTGATTTTATTCAGATTGGTTGTTTATTGAAATACTAATTTTACCACATAATTTTACAATACTTTTTCACATTATTTTTTAAATTTAATTTCATTTTTCAAGTCACCGTATACAGAATTCTTAGCCATTGACTCTGGTGTAAAACTTACTAAAAAATATAATTAAAATCACACAAAGTATGATGAAGTCTTCAGAGATTAGTATTCTGTTAAAATTAAGAATAAAACCTGGCACAGTATTCTTTTTTAAAATTTTATTTCGTTTTTGTATGATATATTGGTTATTTAGAACATAAATATTTTCATTTACAAACAATCAATAATAAAAAAAATCATTAGCCTAAGGGTTCTCTGTTCAGTAGTACCCTTAAGAACATAAAATTGTTTTTCTCATATGACCTCCTAAATGCTAATTGCTTGTGCATTTTCCCATATTTTCTTAAAAAGTTGCAGAAGACATCAATTTTCAGTGGAATTTTCTTTCAGATAATATAAAGCACATGCATTGCCCAAAAAGATTTTGAGAAATGTGATTTTTTCAAAGGATTTTACACAATATACCAGTATCTGAAATTTGAAGTGGGCGACGGCTGTGGACAATCTGTTTTTAAAAGGGAAATAACCCCTGTAATGAGTAATTTTGCGGTTTTCTGTTTAAAACTTACAAATGTACCAAATTAATGATGTCGTATTCTTTCATGATTTATCACATCCATATCCTCAAATCATATTTAAGCCAATTTCATAACTCTGTGAAAACAGTAAATTTAAGGGCACAGTAAAGCCCAAACCATACCCTCTTCTTTGTCCGTACACAGTTATCTTTAATTAGAAGTTTTACAAGTATTAATATATTTCAAGTTACTCTAAATACATGAACACAAAAATTCGGCAATATTTCAAGAAGAGATCAATAGATCTAAGCTGTCATGACTTTCTCTGTGGTTTTGGGATTCAGATTCGTTAGCTTAATATTCCAACCTTATTACCGGTATTCCATCATTCCTGAAGGATGATCATCTTTGATAAAAGATAGTTTGTATGTATTTTTACTAATATCCAATTGAAAATAAACAGTTCAGATGACAATTAATTTATTTTCACAAAAATACATGCTTGCTGCACAAATTCATACTATACATATAACAGGATTCACAGAAAAAATAGATTTTTTTCGTATTTCAGAGACATACACACTTTATGCCTGACATCATGCAATGCGTATAACAATTGTATCATAAGCATAAAATTTCAAAGTGTTAAAAAAAATCATGAGGGAGGTTATAATAATTGATAAACAGACATGATAGATACTAAATCTGATTTTATCATGTTTAATTTTTAGTCGATACAACAATGGTCACATGCCTCTACACAGTAACAGTTTTCAACATCACAGGGAACTCGTAACATTAACGTAGTCTATCGTCACAACATTAGTTATATGATATTGTACTTCATAAAAAATGTGCATACAACACTGTTTGAATCTTAAAATCCTTCACAGTATCAGGAAGCCTCCCCCCTCCCGCCCCTTTGTCCCTTTCTTTCAAAACAGGTAACTAATCAAGAAGGCACTATATTAGCCAGAATTGTATTTCCACCCAAAATTGTCATTTACTATTCAATACCTTAAAATTAACATGTTCAACTGCCAAGAGCAAAAGCCGTATTTTCTTGAAATGAAATTACATCAGATACACTATACACATGAAGTTCAACTTCACTTGTTTCTCAATTTTGCAATACGTCTTATTAGTGTTACACTGCTAGATGGAACATATACTATTTCATTTCATCATGCATTTACGAGTAGAAGTACATGTAGCTAAAATATAAAACTCCACCACATTTTAATTTCTGACCCCTTTTTTGGTTGTTAACATTTTAACTGGGATACATGTACCTTAATATTTGAAAAGCAATTGAACTTCTGAAATATTTGTATCCATAATGACTATACAATTGCCCAAAGATCAAGATATCCTCTTTAATGTAGGCTGGTTAAATTAAGTCATTTTTCCAACTGAAAATAGTTTGGAATGTACCGTGTAGTTAAATAAGTACAAAAAGATACTGTACTATGTAAACTAAGCTGTGAATTTCACATGCTCTTTCTATATATACTGTATAAATATATATTTTAGAAATCTAGTTCATTTCCATCCAGAACTTAATGGAAAATGAGAGCTCACCAAGATGATGATAACATGTATTTGCAATTAGTAAATTACAAAATTACAACTGACTGCCCAACATACATGTACATGTATTACATTTTAGTTCCTGTCTGGTCCAAACCCTTTAAGGCAATTTAATTTAAATGATTTGCAGTAATAAATTACATATCTTTCATAAACAACTTATTGGAAAATGCCATATTTAAGAAAACAACTTTATTTTATCTTCATTACACATGTAATATTTAACTGATACTGTATTATACATGTAGTTCTTCAATCTCAGAAGTTGAATGTATAATGTATGAAATGCACACTTATACCAACATTTTTGAAATTTTGAAATAAAAATACTTAATATAAGTCATTATTTATTCAATGCCCATAATTTCTTTTGAAGGTGGTACATTTGGAGTAAATGAGCTTAGAATTGATCTTCTTATTTGCAATCCCTGATTATTTTCCCTGATTTGATGCATAGGGAAGATGAAAGTGACCCTGAGTCGATGGTAAATTAAGTTAATCATTTCACAACATAACCTTTACAAAACATCCACTGGTATACACATGTACAAAGATAGAAACACAGCACAAATTTTTTTATGTGCATACGATTAATCAACAAATACGCAACACTTATTAATAATTTCTGATATATTGTATACCATTATAGGAAGTTCCGGAAATATCATTGACTTGATTATGCCTTCTTTAATATGGACTTGACATATCAATTTTAAAAACTGTAATTGCAATTTAAAACAATTAGAAACACTTGATAAATCAAAACATGATAGTAATATTTAACATAAGTTTTACTATTACTCATCTGATATTATTTATGAAAAATCTTTCTTCCATTTGCTCTAATAATAAATTAAGTTGCATACATATAAAGGTCCGTAAGTGTACACACTGGAAATACATACATGTATAAGGAGCATGGAATGTTCACAAGATATATTTCATTAAGTTCCACTTTAATTTGATATGAGGGATGGTATAAATCTTTAAATAAATACTAATTTACATATTTGATTCTGGATTTTTTACTATTTTTTTTTTTTTTTGTCACACATTTCCTTGGTTCATTTAAAACATATTAGTGTAATGCTACTAAATTTACCAGTAATTATCACTGGAATCACTGATCACCACGGATGCCCTTATAATAGATGACTTTTAGATGTAATCTGAGGTGGACGGAAATATTCTTTTTCATCTATGTCACCATATTTTAAAAATTAACCTTAAAAATCCATTAATAAGATGGATTTCAACATAAATACAGATCTAGTTAATAAATACAGATCTAAACTGTTATATATACACGTTCATCTTTGTCTCATTCTCAGGATCTATGGATGTAATCCTCTACTTCATCCAGTAGTCTCATTGTCTTGTGAACAACATCTGGCCGAATCAAACTGAAGTCAAACATGTTGACCATGTGGACAAGAAAGTTCTTGTTGAGATTTTTCTTTATCAATTCCACTCCATGTTCCCGTACAAATGAGTAACAGGCCTCTGGGATCTGACAGTCCGAAATGAAGCTAAAAAAAACAGGAGTATATGCACCTTACAGAAATAGATCAAAACAAAAGTCTGTGACATCATTACTTTTGAAAATTTTAGCAGGGCAAAAGCAAAATAGATCTGAAACATGTAATATTATGCTAAAGATGACAATAAAATTTTACCCATGTGTATTTGGGGAAGGATAAAATGACTTACTTGTATTTCATGACATGAAGATTCCACAACTTCATCAACTCTTTCTCACCCTCATTAACGTCAGTAAACTCGTCAATCATCTGTTAAAGAACATTACAAATAAATAAAGTACATTTGTTTTATTTTGATATACATGTATTATAAAACTGAGAAATGGACTTGTGAAAAAAAAAAAATGCTTTAAAATTTACATGCAAGTATATCTGCTTTAAATCTTGAACATGTTTCATATTGCAACATTAAGCAAAGGAAATACACAGTTAACCTTCAGTATTTTGAACATGGATATCTTGAATACCATAGATATGTCGAAGTTATTTGGAAGTCCAAACTACTTATTTCTTAAGTATTTTGCCCAGAATATCTAGAATCCTCGGATATCTCCAAGTTTTTTCTTGGCCCCATTGAATTCGAGATAACAAGATTTGACTGTAGTTTTAAGGCAGCCATTTTCCAGTGGAACTTTGTTACACTTACCCTTATACATGCATATTTGTGTAATCTATATTTTTAATGAATATTATCTTACATTAACAGTTTTCTGTCTGAGCCAGATTGGGTCTGTTTCTTCCTCACTGTCCACATCTATTTCCTGTGGTCTGATGACTTCTGATGTCATGGTGTGATAATACAGCCTGAAACGACAAGAATATTGCAGAAGTCTGTACCCAAAATTTTTCATAGTATACATGTATTTAGCAATCATAAAACTCACACATGTATTAACATCACACAATGCATTACTCACCTGTTGTGACCCTGCATGAATTGTCTGTTGATCTGTATGTCATTTTCAGGTTCCATAAACTCGGTCAATGACTGTGCAGGTCTTTTTGGTCTGAAATCCAAGATTCATGATCAGAAAACAGACCAAAGAGAGTACTCTGTATATACTTTGTACATGTACATATGTGCATTGAACTTTTCAATCAAAATGCTCTAAGAAAAGCATATAGTAGATCAGATTGCTATCCATTGTTAGTAATTGGGCTCTCTGGTTCACAACTACCGAATTCTCGTTCAATCTCAAAAATATATCAAACTGTGGATTACCTATACACAAGCACTTGTGTGACTGGGGTTCTCCGTACAGGTCCATTGCGTCTAAATGCATATCCTATATCAACATTGCTGTAAAGATTTTGGGGATTCCCTGCATATGATCCATCATAGCGCTCATTAATGGTGACATCGATTCTCACACCCTTATGATGTGGCTAAAATAAAAATTAATGCACACATTTATCTAACATTCTTGGAAATTTTGTTCATGGAGGATAGTTAAATGGTTGTGAATCAGTTGCTGTATAATACTAATAATGATTCATTTACCATGGAAATAAAATTAAATCGGGCGTGACAGAGTCTGAGATGCTTGAGGAGTCCATATAAATGGATGCAGTTGAGTGCACACCAAGGACAACGGAGATCCTCACGAGCCTCGTTCTGGTGGCGAGTACTGTTGTTGTAGAGAAACTGGTAAAATACACGCTGCCTTTTCTTTGGAGTACTTTGTTCCTCCTCTTTTGAGATGGTCCCTGAGTTGAGGGGAACTTGTGCGAGTCTGTTGTCCATTATGTACTGTGTATGAGTATCTGTGGCCCCTGAGTTGATTGAGCTGTCTGGTTTACCATTAATGGTCCAGTCTATAGAGCACTTGAGTGTGGGATGAAAGTTAAACACCTCAAAAGCCTGAACATGCTGAAAAAGGAAATTTTAAAATCAGAATTAATTCACTGTAACTGTATACAGAGAAACACACTTATAATTAAGTGCACAAACAATTTGATTTGTTATAAAAATAATTTGTTTATATATAGGATAAGTTCAAAATATGTTTTGAAACCACAAGAAATGAAAATCACTTCTCTGTATAACGCATGAATTTATTATAAGCATGTTTCTGAAACTGTGTCAGAAGACAAATGCATTATTTCATTTCACATGTACTCAGAACTGTTTAAATATTTACATAATTTGATATTAAATGCTTTTCTAATGCAGCAATACATGATTAAAGCATGAATTTCATAAATATCTTTTTATCACTTTGGGTCTTGTATAAATTAAACAAAACTAGAAATCTGACCAGTCAGCAAGGGCCCCGCTGAGGGTTAGAAATATAAGGGTGCAGATTAGGGGATGAGAGTTTTACTTGATTCCAAAAAATTTCAAAATATATAAAGAATAAGCAACAGCAACTGCTAAATATCCAACAATCTGTAAATAGTATCCTTGTATTTACATAAGGCAGTAAAAAACATCATATCTATAATAACTCAATTAAATGTATATTTAAAAATGAATAAAGCATGTGTTTTCTAAAATGCCAGCTTCAGTGAATGCAAATATCACCCAGGCTTGACCTTAACTTCAAAACAAATATCAGTTGCAGACAAAGGTGTTAATTAATCTTAAAGTGACAGAAAGATAACCCTCTAAAATATTCTGCAAACCAGCAAGATAATCAAACCCACAGGATTAATTATACTGCTCTCTCAACCTTTTGTTCTAAGTTTACAATAAGAACTTTTTCAGCAATGATAGAATGAGGTTATTATCTGAATACCTGTTAAAATAATTAGTATTCTTGAATTTACATAAGGCAGAAAAAAAGAAAAAAGAAAATAATAATAAAAACAATATCTTTATCTATATCTTGTTTTTAGAATTCAATAAAATCATAACTCATTGTGTATTTTACCAAAATAAAGTATGAACATTATCTAAATCCACATTTCAGAGAATGTAAACATCATTCAGAATTGACTTAACTTCAAAACAAACTTCATTTGCAGACAGAGGTGTTAATTAATCTCAATGTGGCAGATAAAGATAAATGCTTTGGATTTTCTTCAAGAGGAAAGTTAATTAATCCCAAGAGACTCATTGTAGCCTTTCATAGTTTACAATAGGAACATTCTCAGCAGTTATCTCTCTTTGCCCATTCACTCTTATATAAAGTTAAGGAATGTACCCCACCACCCCAGCTCCAAACCGGAAGACATAGAGAACCAAACTTAGCATTAAAATATGTCTTACTGCCTATTCAACCAAAATACCAAAGTTGAACTTAATTGGTCAACCCTAAAAAAAGTTATTAGAAAAAAACAGAAAATTTGTGGACGGAAGAATGACAGACGGACAGACAGACGGACAGACAGACAGAGTGATTACTATAGGGCACCCGCAAATCCTTGCGAAGACCTAATAATGACTTTCATCATAGTCAACTCTTTGGCACAGCAGATTTTCCTTTTGCAATATATCTACATTTAAAACCCCACCCCCACTTTCTCTAAGGGAGGAGAAGTGATCTTCAGTATCAATTATATGGGGACAGGGGGTTGAAATGAAATATGATAAATGTAAATATGTTTTATTATCTATTACCTCATACTATGAAGTACATGTATGTTGAATTGGTCTTGAGATAAAGTTACATTTCTGCCCTATACACATACGACTTGTATGGTAAATAGATACAAAAGATTCATGAGGGCATTGATAAAATAAACTTAAATTACAACTACAATGTTACCTACACAATCTTAAGAAAATGATTATTCTGTAATTCATATGTATATTTCAGCAAAATATACACATCATACAGTGCATACTTCTTAATTTACCTTGCCATTCATGACTGTTTCCCAGGATGCATTCTTGAAGTCTGCCCCCTGCTCATGTAAAACAAACTCATAGTCCCCATTGACTAGGTGACATTTCTTGTTCCTATCCAGTATTACAACCTCTGTGCTAAAAACAGGCTTTTCAATACTGTCTGGAGCAAACTGACCATTTCTTCTCTTTTTATTTGGAAGTTCTTCTACAACATTTTACAATAGGATAAAAAAAAAAACAAAAATGTAAATACAGAGAATCTTAAGACAAGATGAAAAAATATCTCTAGATTAATATCAAGCCTCGCCAGACAAATTAAAGTGCACTGCCACTGCACACGATACACCGTCAAATATTTTTTATCATATTAAACAGATGAGAGTGCATAGAAGAAAATCATGTCAACCTTGGTACAAAGATTCCAGTGTTTTTCCCCATTTCCTAATGTTTGCTATGCTACATTGGTGTATTTATCAATTAGAACAAAAAATAGGCGTTAAACAACAAACAAACACATTTTGTTTGATTTAATATAAAAATTACACGTATTTCAGAAGTTTAATTATTGAAATTTTGACTTCATTTGTTCTAAGTTTATGGTCTTGAGGCCTGCTTGATCAGAGATTCCCTATCAGAAATGATTAAGACACTCTTCTTACACTTAACTCATTTAATCTATAATTTGACAGATACAATTTGTTTCTGATTGAAATGCTACTCCACTGCTTGATAATTACAGCTAAGATATAATTAGAATTTCTTTTGTTTTTGAAATAAAAATAAATTATTTATGTTATATATAGTTGTATAGTATATCACGAACTGGAAATATGTCCATAGGACATGAATGCCCCATCCAGGGTTCATTAGTAATGCAACAAGAAAATTTGTATTAATGTGTGAAGTTTGATGAAAATAAACATAAAATAGTTTCTTTAAAACTGAGTTTATACCAGACTTGTCGAAATCCGTCGATCCTGTCGGCAAGGCCGGTAAAAATTTGTCTGGACTGATAACTTTTAAGAAAACGCCGGTCCAAATGACTGTTTGAAAAAATCGAGCGTGACGGAAATTTTAAAAAAGGTCGGGATCGGGATGCGCAACTGAAGGTCACAAACACAGAAGAGATGGCCGTTTGCGCGGTGTAGTGACGATGGTCAATTTAACTTGTTACAGGAAAGACATAAAATATGTTATTTATGTCTCTTATTAAAGACTCTCTATCCTAAGAAAAGAAACTTGTGAGATTGAAGGCTGTTGAAAATATTTAAGGGCATTTTGGTGCTGTTATTTATTTTCCTTTCTCAGCGTCAAAATAAGGTACATGTATCTGGTCTGACAAAACTTCGTCCGGTCCGACAGAACATTTGACTTTGTCAGACCAAATGTCTGACAGTGATTTCAAAATTTCGACAAGTCTGTTATACACAATAAATAGTTAAGGTCAAAGGTTATTGGGAAGGTCAAGGTAAAAAAAAAATGGACACAGTTTATTCTCACCAAATAATGTACATGTATTAGTGCATAAGATTACATAAACAATATTTGGAATAATTTCTTTAAGAAATAAACAACAATGTTAAAAAGTTCTCTGGGAAATGAACTTGGTTGGTCACGTGATCAAATCCTGTGAAGCCCGAAGGGCTGAACTAAATACAAATTTGAGAAAAGTGAGGTCAAGCTCAAAGGAAAGGTCAAAGTAAATAAATGTTGATGCACTTAAATAGCTCTCATCAATATGTATCAGCATATGAAGTTTGATAAAAATATCTTGAATAGTTTCTTTGAAACTGAGCTTAATACTATTTTAAGATAAGTAAGATAAATGTCAAAGGAAAGATCAATGTCAGAAATTGATGATGAAGTTGAACAGCTCTGAACAATATGTTTAAGCATATAAGGTTTGACAAAAATATCTGAAGTTTCTTTGAAATTGAGATAATCACTAATTTAAGAAAATGAGGTCAAGGTAAAATATTGTTGAGGCAGTGAAATAGCTCACATATGAAGTTTGATAAAAATATCTTGAATAGTTTCTTTGAAACTGAGCTAAATGCAAAGTGTGATGGAAGGACAGATGTAAGGACATGACAAACACTATATGCCCAGGCCATATTCATTGTGGGGCATAAAAAATGTGTGTTTTCTTGAATTAACATTTTTAAGAACCTTACTGCAATACTCTTACATCTGTAGAGATTGTGTAACTTACATAGTTTTTTTTTGTCCTGTTTTTTTTTTTTCAAATTTCCCCTCAATTAAGGCTCACTGTGACCTTTATGTAGGGTGCGACACACCTTCTATCAAAAATGCATCAATTGACCTAGTTTGATGATTCTAGGAATAATAGTTTTCCAGTAAGAGGTGGACAGGATTTTGCCATATATGGCCATATAATCTGAAAGGTCACAGTGACCATCTTTTAATGTGTGACACACCTTCTACCCAAGAGGTATCAGCTGACAAATTTGATTAAGCCTCATAGTATTTTAGTTATGAGCCAAACACAAAAAAGCTAACAGACAGATGGACATGAACGCCATACCATAATATGCCTGTCTTAAGATGGGCGTATAAAACCCCCCAAAAGTTACCATCAGTTGAGTCTATGTTTCCATTGCACTGCCCGTTGACCATACCATTCTTTGGTGAGGTGTTAACACTAAGACACAGAATGAGAGGTTTGACTGGTAAGATGTGACTGTTGTTGAAGCATTCGTGGGAGATGGTGAATGGATCTGGGCTCTCCTCCCTGCTAGGATTTACAGGAACCCGCAGGGTCTTTAAGGAGGTCTTTGTTACCGAGTTTACTGATCCTCCACGCCTCTTCTCACACACTTGTAGGAGGGATACTTCTACATCGACCATGTCATTACACTCTGTAAAAAGAGAAGACAAATAATCAGATTCTCTGCATTCTGTAATACAGATTTAAAATACATTCATGAAGTTTCACAATGTATATTTTAAATATTGATCATTCTGTATTTTACTTAATAGCTCTTTATTTTAAAAAACAATTGACTTCAAATATTTACCATCTTCACAAAAGTATCCTGCAATTCTTAAATTTAAAGACTTTGTTCTGAAAAAAAAAGCAAATTGTACCCTTAACACATTTCAAACTATATGAAAATATCTGTACATAAATGAAGTTTCCTTATCTTTTTCCTTATTCAGTCAATGAATGCAATTACAACTCATATACAAATGCATGTTGAAAAATTTTACAACTCTTTAAAGGAAAAGCATTTTAAAATGCGTAATTGACTTAAAATTCTGTCAGAGATTTCCCTTATCAAGGACACTTAAATTTTAATTTAAAATTTAAACAACAAAAACTTAATTTGCAATTTTGATGTAAAACAAATATTTCAGATTGTCAAAATTAAATGTTAAAATTTTGTTCTGGGGAGATGTTTGGAAGTTGAAACGTTTAGATTATTGGTGTTCAGATTACTGTGGCTTCAGGGAGAAAAAAGCATTTTTTTTCATGAATTTTTAACTTTTGTCACCTATCGCCTGAACCCAGGGTTCAAGAATTTTACAATCTGGTACAAGGCTGAGTGCTCATTGTAAAACTGCAAACTTTTTGTCTGCTACTTGTAGAAGCAGAGATTTTTGAAGATTACATTTTTGATGATTTTAGCCCTGCCCATCAGAAGAAAGAAAAAATAAAGTTCATAAATTCCTTCCACAGCCCCCCCCCCCCCTTTTCAATGACACAACTAAACCAAAACTGGTTGAAATCATTAAAGTAATTTCAGATAAGAAGCTAAATACTGTATCTTATAATCTCTCTGAGACTGTAGTTCTACTGGTTTGTACTTAGAACAAAGAAAGAGAAAAATAGAACTTGGACCTGAAACTATGGCAATAGCAATAAATAGAATCATGATCCTTGGTTCAGTCTCTTTTTTGGCAAGATTTACTGCAATCAGACTAAAGCTGTAGAGGGAGTAGCCCTTTGAAATAATTCTACATACATTTCTATTTTATAGTCATTATGGCCAAACCATTCATCAAAAACCAATACACAGAATTATGTATCTAAGAGTAGTCTTTTTGCCAAGTTATAATACTGAAATCAGACCAAAACTGTAGAAGGATTTAAAAGCATTTTGAAAGTAACCATGGCAACACTGTTCATCAAAATCAAAAACCAATATATAATATTATGTATCTTAAATTTGTCTACTTGTTTGCCAAGTTATATTGAAATCGAACTAAAACTGTAGGAGGAGAGGCAATTTGAAAGTATTTCACAGAATTTCTATTTTTAGTAACCATGGCAACATTGTTCAACTGTAGCAGGAGTGGCATTTTGAAAAATTGTTTAACGAACGACAGACACCTATCACATAAGCTCTTCTGGTCTCTGACCAGTGGAGCTAAAAATTACGAAATGCAGATGAGGACAAATGAAAATGCATAGCAATAGGTTTAATATTAGAGTGACTCAAATGTTTTAATTATGTAATTCATGAGTCACTTTTAGACTATCCAATTCATACTTCTCTGTTTTAGTGGAAGTTTTCTGCTTGTCATCAGTGATTGTCTTCAGCATGGAGTTTACATCAAAACTTTTTCTGAAGAAAAAAAGATCATCTACTGTACACAAGGAATCTCTGACATATAATCAATACCTTTCTAATAAACTCTTGATTTTATGTCAATAAAATATTCAAACATTTCAAAATATGGTTCACTTGACTATTTTTATGCTATACCCAAATGACATATACCTCTTAGTGTTGCTAACAGATCTTCTTTCTTTCATGTAAGTCAATGTTCTATGTAGAATAATAGGCTGAAAAAGTAGGCATAAATGCAGCTATGTATGCAATAATTTTAGTAGATTTATATAAAAAACTGTGGTACCTTCATATATGGACATAGTAATACTTTATGGTGAAATAAGTTCAATACAGCCATCAACATTAACATGATTAAAGATTTCATAATTCAATTAAAATCTAAAGGATTCACACCTTTCAAATCAAATAAGAAGTGTTCTTTTAAATGTGATTGCAAAAATCATTTAAGATTTATAGTACACAAGTACATCATGAAATGATCCATCATTTTTAATTAAAATCCTATATAATGAGTACAATGCATGTAATTGCATCAAATCATACATCAAGTTTTGTCTACTTTACTTTTTTAAAAAATTACCTGTAATTATTTGTACCGTAATTCTTTCAGACCATAAATTACTGTCCCTATACTTACAGAAATTTGATGTCTGGTTCTTAGGTACCGATAAATCTGTGTTGGCTCTGAAAAATACAATGACAAATTGAGAATTTTAAAAGGAAATTTCTGTGGATGCAACTCAAATGTATCAATATTATTTTACATAGATGCATACAAGGGTTGTCCGTAAAATTCGTGGACAACATTGATAATTACTGACAAACATTGATAAAATATTTGAAATTATTATTTTCATTAAATTGATGTTTCAGTTTATTAATATGCAAGTTTTAATCACAAACAAAACACAAATAGTTATATTTTATCTGATACAAAAAAGATACGCACTCATACCCGGAGCACTAAAACGAAAATCCTTGACGTTATTCGACGTCAAATGCTAAATACATTAAAGTTTTCTCAACGCAGTCACCGTTTCACTCAACACATTTCTTATGTCGTTTCAACCAGTCATCAAAAATTTGGACAAACTGTTCTGGTTTCATACATGAAATAATATTTAACACTTCCTGTCTCAGATCCTGCAAATCATCAAACCTCTGTCCGCGTAAAACGGCTGTATGTACGAAAATACGGCAAAGTCACGTTACGAACTTCATTTTTTACAGCACTACAATCTCGGAACGATTGTCTTCCATCACGAATGTCATCCAGTAAACAGTCTCTTTCGTCCGAAAATCTTCTGTGCCACTTAAACACTAAAGAATAGATTACTTTACTATGATTTTCCGACTGTTTAAGGAATTTATGGGTCTCTGTTGGTGTTTTTCCGATGTCTACACAAAATTTTATCACTACTCTCTGCTCCACCTTTTCCGAAAACGTCCCTTTTTCGAACAATGAAGAAACTATCTTAATAAACTCTGACCTCGATTTCTCTGCCATTTCGAAACTTTGAACGTTCAAATTTTACATGTTTGACGTTATAACTTTTGTCAACCCTATAATGAAAAAGCCATCCAAATTTCCGCGGAATTTTACAAAATACAAATGAAATGTATCAAGTGATTAATAACTTTTTAATTAAAGCTTTGTTGTGCTCCGGGTCACCATCCCAAGTTTAATAATGAAGTCATAATTGTAATTATACACTTAAAATTGAATAAAATTTTTCATTTTGTAATTCACATATAGTAAAGGATTATAAATATGCTAATAATAAATATCTATGACGCAACTTTTATTTAAATTTTAGCTTGTCCACGAACTTTATGGACAACCCTCCTACTTCTTATTATTTAATGTTCCTGATAAGCAGAAAATGATTTATGATTGATACATTTATAAATATTAAAGCTATTCTGACTCAAGGACCTAGAAGGTTAGTTCTACACAAATTTAGAGAGTTGGCTATCTAGAAAGAGTCTTAAACTTTTGAGAAAATTGCTTGTTCTGGTATTTTCATAATTTATAAACATGTGTAGAAGTCCTGCCCTCAGTTTTTAAAATTTTCATTAGGCCTAAGAAATTTTTTTTTTTTTTTACTATATGCTAATAAAAAATTGGGTCAGAAGGTAGCATTTTGTTTTTATTTTTTTTAAATAAAAAGGCACAACTTTGAAATACAATTTTTTTTAAAAGATAGTTTTAAACTCTTTTTTTCTAACCAAAAAAAAAAAAAAAAAAAAAAACACCAACCAAAAACCTTGTTTTACAATCTACCCAACAGCTCTAAATATTGTTATTAAAAAGTGATCTTACAACCCATAAACTGTCCTTTTTGAAGGAAAATATACAGATATGCAGTTTTGGGATTTTACAACAACAACAACAAAATTATTATAATTTTTGGGTCAGCTAATATTATTAGGGTTGGTCTGGCAAGGTTCTGTAGACAAACATATTTTTTCTTAGGCCTTACATTTCACTCCAATGAAGTATTGTATATGTTCTTATTTTTACAAATTTCAACTTTAATTTGTGAAAACAGAGACCACAGACTATGTGACACAACAATGAATTAGTTATGTATATTGTACATGTATATGATATATATAAGTGTTTACAGTGTACTTTCTTTTTGCCCATAAGGGAACTTAATTGGTAAATAAACAAATTGAATTGAATTGTCCAAGGTATTTCCAGGGACCTATATACTAACGGGATATGCAACTCTTTCAGCGCCATATTTATTTACCCAAAACGGCACATACAACACTGCAAGTTTTTCAAACTACGTTTTTCCCCAGTAAAAAGCTTGTTTTCTGATTAATGTAATCTGTTCTTTTTGTGTATTGGAATGGATATTTAATAAATTTTAAAGCACATATTATAAAATAATTTAGATATTAAGTAAACAACCACCAAAATCGGCGATTTCTCGGAAAAACGACTGATCAGGGTCATGCACTGATTTTTCAATAAACGTAATTACTACTAAGATAAGGAATAAAAACAACGCTAAAAACAAATCTTGAATAATTTTTTGATAGATAAATTAAGATTCTATTCTGAAATATTTGATAGCAAAAGAGATGTATTTAATTAAAATTGACTTACAAAGTCCTGCAACTTACGAGATATTGCGAGACTTGCGAGAGTTGCCTATCCCGTAGTATATAGGTCCCTGGTATTTCTTTGCAATAAAGATAAATAAAATCATATTTTGACGACGTTTGTGAAATACCGCACAAAAATATGAATCTTGCTAATATATTGACAGGCCGTGCAGTAGATTAACATTTTTTTTATGCAACTTCTCATATAGGCCTAATATATCCAAAACATCCTTTCACATATTACTTTCTCTAACTTCTCCATAATTGATACATCTGTGTACAGAACCCTTTATCTAAATCATGTTTGTGTCATATCATTGAGATACTAACACAAGAATAATTTAAACATAATGTAACGTGCATTTAGTGATGGTTGTAAATAATGGGGGTTGATGATGTGGGTAATTACACAAGAGAAAAATACAAAGGCAATTTTTAAAAAATCAACTTTTATGTCCATTACATTTTATCTTTATAAATTTCACGACCAAATAAAGAAAGTATTATGTAACTTTCAGATCTACAGATGTAGATCACACCATGCACCACCTGTCTATGCCACAAAAGCGATTTACTTTCAAATGCCTTCAAGAACTGTTCTCGATCAGCTGCTTCCGTCTGGGCGTCCACAACGGGAGTGTTCTCCCTGGGCCGCTTTCTAGATTTCATCGCTGATCACACCAATGATCTTTCGTTCACTTCCCTTTCGCGGGAACAACACACACAAAAAGCCGAAACAGAGGCGCGTCGATCATCGAAGATTTGACGTCACAAACAGAGAGAAATGTAGGCCATCTCAAAACTTATTTTATTCAAATTGCAAAAAGAAGTAAATTAAAGCTAAAGAATATCATCATATTTCTTATCAAGTGGAGACTGAATCTATTAATCGTGTCTTCGCGAATATGAAGAAATCCAAGCGTTTATTTCAACGATAATAGCATTTTACCTTCAAGAATTATTCGTACGAGTTGTTTACAATTACTCGTGATCAATCAAGTCACATGACAACCATATGACTCTACTTTCAACTTGAAAATGGAAAACAGTTGTGCGATTTGGAAGATTTTTGTTTTATATATTTTCCTTCAATTATCAGTTTATAGCTCCAATGGTAACATATATATTTTTTTCATTTGAAACACAGGCATGAAATTAAAACCGATGTCATTCTAAATTAAAATTTTAACTGCTATTTTCAGGAGAATACACTTACGGTACAGTCACATGTAAAGATCAGAAATGTGAATACCGGCCAAATGTTTTGAACTTTAAGGGAACAGCCTGTGGTACCTATAACGACACGCTAGATCAAACAGGTTGGGGGATCCTGGATATTGTGGGCGGACAGGGAAATGATGCAGACCTTGACATCATGTATGGGGCAGGATACCTAGAGGGAATCTTCACTGCAGAGTAAGTATACTGATATTGTTTTATGTGTATAAAAAAAAAAAAAAAAAAAAAAAAAAAAAAAAAAAAAATTGCCATAAACTTGCAGAGTATTGATTTTTTTTATTGTTATGCTTTGCATACTTTCTAAGTACTTTAACAACCAAAAAGTTTTTTTTTTAATTTATTTCTTTTTTTTATGAAGATATCACATATTCTTACCCGGACAATTCAGTGATTATATATATCTTATTTTGCTACAAAAAAATTGGTCAAGTTCAACAGCATGGCAAATAATCATTAATAACTTTTTTATAGATCTATATGAAATAAGATATTTTATTAAATTTTGAAATATTTCTACTTTTTGGGTCATTCTATGTGTAGAGGTCTGATGAATTGAACTACAGCTGAGTTGGTAGTGTTCAATGTGACTAGGTTGAAATCCTGGTCCAACCCATCACAATTTTCTCTTCCCTGTGACATTAGGGCCTTGCTATACCCTAGAAGTGAAAGGTGAAAGCCCTGACAGGGATAAAATTGGGTTAGCGACTTCTGTGACAAAGAGATATCGGGTGGGAGGAATGTGGTGGCCAGACAGGTTCATTTGCCATTGGCCAAATAATTCAGCTATTAGAATCCTTGTCTAAAGTAAAGAGAGTCGGGTTCAAAAGATATTTTGAATTTACTTTTGCAATTTATTAGTGGAGCAGACTGATTAAACTCAGCTGCTACACTATGTCCTAATATGTTCTGCTTCTACAATTATTTAGGAAGTTGAATGTAGTGAAGTATTCTGGGACAGCTTGGTGAGTGGAGTTGCTTAATTGCAGAAATCAATCTACTCAATTTATTACAGGAGAATTTGGCAACATTACCAGAATCTGAAGGATTTTTTCTTGAGTCAAAGAAAAGATGATGTGGTGAAGAATCTTGCAAAATGGTTTGATCAGCAGAACATGTGGATGAGAAGTATGATCAAAAAGAGTTCAGGTGATCCACTGTGGAGGCATGTTGGTCTCATTATGGCACAGTTTGATGGGCTGGTAGCTGGATATAAATCTGTGGCAAAATCTGACCAGGTAATCATCATATGATATCAGTAGCTGGAGACAAGAGATGTGACTTTTCTTACCATTTTTATTAGGGATGTCAATTTTATCCATAATTCATATTCGAATATTCAATGAAAGTATTCGCATATATTCGAATATTCGATAAAATACATGTAAATAAAATTTGGTTAATTTCAAATGTACATCATTATACTCTCATGGCAGGTTTTATGTCGGTATTTGGAAGTAAAATTGGACATAGACTTTTGTAGGTGTACAATAAGGAATTCTACATTTGATATCTGTCCATGTTTAAAATAAATAATTGATCTAAGTGTATACAACCGAAATATAAATTTAACAAATGATATCTATACAAGCGCAAACTGACGAACCAATCGATTAACCAGGGGCAAGATTGTCGTTTACTCTTCAGATTCAAAAACACGTAATTTTAAAATTACAATTATCTGCTTAATAAAAGATATAATATAATCTTTGATACAATGTTTTGACAATATAAACAAACAATTCCATAGACAATTTTCCTAGGTCATTAATTTCACGATAATGATTTTAAATTTTTAAAATTAATATTTAACGCGAGATAATCAAGTAATTGATGCATTATTCTGAAATTGAGCCCTTTACAATATTACAGGCTGATTCTATCAAAGATGTAATTCAATGATCAATAAAAAATATTTTCATAAGTACATCCTTCCCATCTCTTAGACATCAAGAAGGTTTCATTTCGTTGTCCTCGATTCTAGATCCGATCATATTAAACTACTGAAAGTACTTTTTGTATTACTAGTATACATTAATAGTTCTTGTTTATTTCTTGTATACCTTACTCAAAATGAAATAATTTGGAAGATCTATAAGATAAGAAAGTAGCGAAAGGAATCAGGGGATCGCTAGTAAATAAAACGGGGATAATTCCAGCACTGTTCTAATTAAAATTTATTATCTTTTTTGTGAAATCTGAAAACCATCGAATATTCGAATCTCAAATTCATATTCGAATATTAACTCATCGAATGAATATTCGAATATTCGTTGACATCCCTAATTTTTATACATCAGTTCATTTTATGTATAGTTTTTTTCAGTCATTTGTTTCTTATCAAAATCATATGTTGCATTGTTGACATTGTCAGTTAATTAATACCTCTTTGTAGGAAAGTATGTTGTCTTTCAAAAGAAGTAATAAGGTTAAGATAATGTCTATAAAGAATTTTCAAGATTGACATACATGTATCACCTTACATGCTGAATGGTCCAGTATTCTCAAACTTTGTCTTGAGAGTTTATGAAAAAATACTTAGTCACATAAGTTCCCATCTGTAATACTTTATTACTTTGTTTTATTAATTATTCCTACATACCACCTTTTTCTGTCCATACTTGTATAAGTGGCTGTGTATTAAATAAATTGTATGAACACATTTTACTACATGATGAATACTTTAGGTCTACCTAATACTGTATACAGCTTTATTTTCACTGTTAGTTTATTATTGCTATTTTCAAAGAAAAATAAATCTGTTAAAACAACATTAATGTGAAAGCAATTTGAATAAAAAGTTCAAGGAGCAGAAAACCCAAATCAAAAGTATCTAAGAAAACATGAAAATAACCATGAGGGTAATCAACTCTGTATATACATGTAGTGATATGCCATATTTTACTACTAATCCATGCAGTTTCTTCAACAATCTTTTATGCATGTTAAGTGTTTATAACTTGTGTCACAAACTAATTCTTCAATTAACATTTACCTATAATTACAGGATCTGGATGTTTTTGCTTTCCAAGTCTTGAATGGAGCTGGTGATCTGCTGGACCTGATGAATATAATTGACCCGTCCTCAGCCGCAGACTGGACACAGATGACCCACAGTCAAGTTCTCTCCTATGTACAAGACCGGGGCATGTGCTCTGCTCTTATCAAGGTAACACTGCACATGTATTCAGTGTCATAGGTTACTTATTGAACAGGGAATGTTAAAAATTTTTGGCCCTATTGTAAAATGTGCTTTTCCTAAAAACTCTGACATTTCTATAAGATTGGACTAGATTACTATAGACTATGGACTAGATGGTATTGGGTATTATTTTTGTGTGTGTGTATATATGCTTATTCAGTTTGAGTATGTACTTGTGTGGTAGTTTTGTAGCAGCATTTCTGCATTGGAATACCCTATTTTAAGGTGCCCAAGTTGTCAAGTTCTAGTTTTAGCTATGATGATTTTAAAATTTTCCTGGAGTTTGACGTATGATTTTCACTACATATACAGGTACTTGGGGCATATGAGGATGTCTTCATGTCCCATTCCAGCTGGTTTGTGTACCAGGCAACCATGAGAATTTACAAACATTATAATCTGAATGTAAGAGATCCGGCCACTTCAGCGAAACGAGTTTCATTTTCCAGCTATCCAGGTAGCTATTCATTTTTTAAAAAAATTTTTACAGAACATAATAGTGGTTTTAAAAATATGTGTCAGCCAATATGAGCTTAAATTTGCATTTCAGGATTTTTGGAATCTCTGGATGATTTTTATCACATGAGCAGCAAGTTAGTCATGTTGCAGACCACAAATAATGTCTTCAACAAAACGCTGTACAATTATGTCAAACCTGAGTCACTGTTTGCTTGGCAGCGGGTCCGAGTAGCAAACATGATGGCCAATGGGGGAGAAGAGTGGGCAAAAATAATGGCTCAGTATAACTCAGGTAAGTATAATAGCTAGTTGGTGATGATGGAAGTGGTGGTGGTGGTGATCGATGGTGGGGGGGGGGTTATATAGTAAAGCATATATAAGCAAGGGTATTTTTAAGGCTATGTTATATTACTTTTACTTCTATAATATCTGATGTTTAGAAACTTTGATACTCCTTGTTAAAGTCGTATACATACTTAAATAATGTGAATGTATTTGAAGGACTTCAGAAAATTCATGTAAAAATATTTAAACATAGATGTTACATAAATATGTAACTATTGAATTTAAAATTTCAAGTCTTGGATTTCCAAAGGGAATGAAGACAGTTGTTATGCATGACCACCTATTGCGGCTGCATATTGAACTTATTATATTGCATGTATGTTGAAAGAACTGAAATTAATAGATTACTTCCTCAAAATGTTTAGCTTAATTTCTTGTTCATTTTAGGCACCTATAATAACCAGTACATGATAATTGATCTGAAGAAAATTCATCTGAAGTCAGCCATAGAGAATGATGCATTATGGGTAGTTGAACAGATTCCTTCTCTTGTAGAAGCAGGAGACCAGTCTGTCATTTTAAGAACAGGTATCTAATATCACATTGAAAGAATTTACATTGGTTTGGCCATGCAAAAATATGGAAGATATATACTGAACACAAATAGTGCAATATTGATAATGAATAAAAATTTGTGCTATGCATTTGACATGCACATGTATATACATTTACCAACAAAATTACTACTATTATGCTGATTTTCAATGGATTTTCTGCACATGAATGCATTTTCTTATGAATCAACATTTCAGTCATATTGTTCATGTGTTGGTTTTATTGAAATATACCACAGAACTAGCTATATATGCTGGCATCTCCTTGTATGAGAAATGTCAGTCCCTATTAATAGTATCTGAAAGGTTACAGTCACATGTCAAGGTTAAGAGTCAACAGCTTGTTGTGTTAATTTTGGATATACAGTAAAACACACTTATAGCAAACATGCTTATAACAAATTGATACTTACAGAAAAAGTGATTTTCATTCCCCGTGTCTTTAAAATAAATTGTAAACTTAACAGATATAACAAATTACTTTGATAACAAAAAAAATCGCCTATCCCTGGCACTTTGTTATGAGCCTGTTATACTGTAGTTCCTTTGTACCATAGAAAGGTACTGAATGATGTTGAGATAGCAGGGTATTATATAAATACAGTCTAGTACATGCACTGTGCATGAATTCATCATTCTTCATTCAGGTCCAATGTTCATGGATTTCATGGGGTACCCTTACCCAGGAATTTACATCCCAACAAACAATAACTTTGTAGGTGTATCAGTACATTGAATCTTCTGTACACACGATTTACACAAAAAATTATGTCCCCACAAACCAGTAAAATTTTGAATGACCATGAACATTTGACCCCCACAAAGAAGATTGACTTCACAGTATAAGTCTAACAGTAAGCATAATAATAAAGTGATATTGCTTTCTTTGTAACAGAACTAGCTATATATGCTGGCATCTCCTTGTATGAGAAATGTCAGTCCCTATTAATAGTATCTGAAAGGTTACAGTCACATGTCAAGGTTAAGAGTCAACAGCTTGTTTTACAGTAACCATTGACATAAGTGGCATGTTCCTCTAAAATAAGTTAACGTATATTCTGAAAATACATGTATATATTGTTTACATGTTTGTTTATATTCATGTGTAAATTTCCGAACATGGAATTTATTTGTAGGAGTTGTTTCCCTTTCATCTTAAATATTGCCTGTAGCAATGTTTACTAAGAGAAAACATTCCTTTAAAACAATTATAGGTTACTGGGCATCATATAATGTTCCATTCTTTGAAAAAGTCTATAACCTGAGTGGGTATCCAGAAGTTGTGAAAAAGATGGGGACAGACTTTTCCTACCAACTGGCCCCGCGAGCCAAAATATTCAGAAGAGATGAGGGCAAAGTTTTGGATTTGCCTTCCATGAAACACATCATGAGATACAATGGTAAGTGTTGCCATTTGTCTGTTCAGAATCAAGGGTAGCTACAAGTACATTAACTATTCCAGATACTGTAAACATGCATAGATATAGTCCAATATTAATCTTTCTCTTAAACTTATTAGTGCAGTCATAAATTTATTAGCACACATAAGTCTTGCAAAACGGCAGCTATAGTTCTAATCATATATAATCCGAATTAGCAGACAAAATTGAAAAAGCAGTGCAAAGGTGCTAAAATATGAATAATGTTAATATTATGACCAATTAGCTAGGGGTGTCAACACTGTGGCTTGAACTTACAACCCTAAGATTTACTTGAACTTACAACCCTTAGATTTAAAATTCAGTGCTCTACCGACTGAGCTAAATGATTAACCCACTAGCTAGTGCTAGTAGGAGTGTAGCCTCACTATTTACAACACAGTCTGTTACAATGTAAATACCTCTACAGTATGTCATTAAATCTGATAATAGATTGTCTTGTACGTACACAAAATTGATGTTGATTTAGTGATATTTTATCAATGTTATGTAGGGAATATTCAGTGATTGGTAGTTGGACATGGAATTTAATTTACAAGTGGGAAATTTTTGAAATTTTCATGAGTGCAAAGCACAAGTGAAAATATCAGGAAATTCTGTCTCACAGGTGAAATAAATTCCATATACATCTACAAAACATTGAATTTTCTGTTATTACATCTCAATGTAGGATTTTCTTTTTGTCTCTGTCTTTCCGCAATGTAGTATTTTAGACTGTGATATGATAGTTGAGTGGTTGTGAGATGTCATAGCTTAGCAATTGCGAGATTAAAAACTGTAAACATGATTCAACAACAATTTTAAGATACTTTGTCAATTTTAGTCTGTGTCAGGATAGTTTGTTTACTCTAGCTAATATCTTATAATAGGGAGTATTTTATTTATAATTCTCTTCTGAGAGGGATAAAAATCAAGAGTTTTTCTGCACTTTTGATATTTTTACTGCGAAAAATATCACTTTTGATATAATATCACTTTAAAAATATCAATTTTATTCAATGAATAAATCACAGTATTTCCCATCTGCTGAAAATTAATAAATCAAGGTAATTGATTTTCATATTTTCCCATATTAGCATATGTGATAGGTCTGTATAACACTCATTTTGACAGAGTAATACATCTTGGCATTTTAGTTTTTAAGCGACAGAATTATTTTAATGTGAACTATTCATAAAAAAAGGAAATAAAATAATTCCTCTGGATACTAACTTTGACTTGTTGTAAAGAAGAGTTCCACAATAACTACCACCTATACTGATTAAATAGTGTATTTTAACACATTCAAAATTAATCTTTTTTTTGGGTATGTTTTCCATAAGTAGTACAAGTGTCTGAAAAAAAAATGATAAGGCCATCTTTAAAAAATTGTTTGGTTGCCCTCTCCAGACAGACCGACTAAAAATGGTCCAACTCATAAAAAGATTTTAAAAATTCAGCATTGAAATTGATATTTTTTTTGGGGGGGGGGGGGGCAATTTTTTCATCCACAGTTGGAAGAGGGCATACAAGCATTATTTTAAAATTTGCCTAATTGTAAAAGTAATTTGTTGCTATTATCAGGTTCATCTTTTAATGATGCAATGTACATGTAATCTAAAAAAGAAATGATAGGTATAACTATAATTTGGATAATATCATATGTCTTGGATTTTTAGCTCACCTCGTCGAAGTCGAGATAAGCTTATGCTATACCCCTGGCGTCGGCGTTAGCAGCAGCGTCCTGGTTAAAGTTTTAGGAGCAAGTCCATTCCCAAGTAACTATAAGCCCTACCTGGACCAAACTTGCATGGATGATGCATCTAGGGGTGGTCACTACCACACTTGCCTCAGATGCTGGATCTGACCTAGATTTTCCAGATGAGTGACCAGGTTAAAGTTTTTGGAGCAGGTCCATTCCCAAGTAACTATAAGCCCTACCTGGACCAAACTTGCATGGATGATGCATTTAGGGATGGACAATACCACACTTGCTTCGGATGCTGGATCTGACCTAGACTTTCCAGATGAGTGACCAGGTTAAAGTTTTTGGAGCAGGTATAATTCCCAAGTAACTATAAGCCCTACCTGGACCAAACTTGCATGGATGATGCATTTAGGGATGGACACTACCGCACTTGCTTTGGATGCTGGATCTGACCTAGATTTTCCAGATGAGTGACCAGGTTAAAGTTTTTGGAGCAGGTCCATTCCCAAGTAACTATAAGCCCTACCTGGACAAAACTTGCATGGATGATGCATTTAGGGATGGACAATACCACACTTGCTTTGGATGCTGGATCTGACCTAGATTTTCCAGATGAGTGACTAGGTTAAAGTTTTTGGAGCAGGTCCATTCCCAAGTAACTATAAGCCCTACCTGGACCAAACTTGCATGGATGATGCATTTAGGGATGGACACTACCGCACTTGCTTTGGATGCTGGATCTGACCTAGATTTTCCAGATGAGTGACCTGGTTAAAGGTTTTGGAGTAGGTCCATTCCCAAGTTACTATAAGCCCTACCTGGACAAAACTTGCATGGATGATGCATTTAGGGATGGACATTACCACACTTGCTTTGAATGCTGGATCTGACCTAGATTTTCCAGATGAGTGACCAGGTTAAAGTTTTTGGAGCAGGTCCATTCCCAAGTAACTATAAACCCTACCTGGACCAAACTTGCATGGATGATGCATCTTGGGATGTACACTAACCAACCTGCTTCGGATGCTGGATTCGACCTAGATTTTCCACATGAGTGAATTTTAGCCCTATTTTAACCAGATTAATATGGATGATGTAGCTAGGGATGGTCACTTCCAGACTTGCTTTGGATTCTGAATCTGACCTACATTTTCCAGATGAGTGACCAGGATAATTTTTTGGAGTAGCTATATAACATTATGGCCTGTTATGATTAAACTTGCATAGATGGTGCATCTAAGGATGAAAACTCCATCTAAGGATGAAAACTTCCAGACTTACTTTGGATGTTGGAACTGACCAAAAATTTTTTGATTTGTAAACAGGATAAACGTTTTTTGAACAGGTCTATTTCCAAGTAACTATAAGTCATACTTAAACCAGACTTGCATGGATATTGATCTTGGGATGTACACTAACTAAAAAAAGAATATGATGTGAAATTTGCCTTACTTAAGGATAACATTCGTCGAGGTAAGCTTCATAATCTTTGATTACCTATGTTTATGTGGAAGCATCCTCAGATAGTGTAGATTCAGATTTGTTCAAATTAGGACCCTACGGGTTTGGGTGGGACCACAATGAAAGTTCAAACTTGTAGGAATAAAAGCCACATTTAGTCAAAGAAATATGTAAGCATCCTTAGTTAGTGTGGATTCAATTTTGTTCAAATCATAACCCCCCCCCCCCCCCCCCCCCCCTTTATTAGGGGTAGGTTGGGACCACTTATGCATTTAAGCTTTTCAATGCTGAAATGATTTTTGCTTTTGCTCAGGTGAGCAATGTGGCCCATGGGTCTCTTGTTTTATGTATGATTGGTTGGTTTCCATGGGTGACTGATGCTACATCCTCATTCTGACCACTTCTTAAAAGTCTGAAGGTTTGAATATGATCAAAAAATAGAGAAAGGGCATATGTTATTCAAAATGTTGAGTTCATTCATGATCAATAATACTTAAAGCAATATGAGCTGCATTCATGGGAATTTTATTTTGCTGTTAAAATGTGTTATTATGATAAATTTTTATGTAATTTGAACCTTTTTGATCAATTAGACAGAAATAAAGTATCAAATTGTTTCAGAACAAAGGATTCTGTATAATCAAATATGTAGTGTTATATAAGAAATCAATATTGTACAGGACGACAGTAATGTAATTTTGCTTCAATCAAAGCTTATAAATAGTTCTTCCATTGCAAATATAACAACAGAAGTTTATAAACATTCTTTTTTCCTTTCATTGAAATAGTTAATTAAAATTTTTCAACAAAAAATTCTGACATCAAAGTCGCGGCTCATATTGCTTTAATTGTTACTGATATAACTGCACAGGAAATATTATCCTGAGAATAGAGGTAGTATTGATAATTTTAAGTATTTATTCATGAAATATTCCATTCTTATTAAAATTTCAAATGAAAATTAATGCTTCTGTGTTCCTATCTGTAATATTTCATCCAAGTGATGAATTTGTTGACATTTAGTTTTATGACAGATGGTATTTGTAGATTACAAAAATGATCCGTATTCAGAAGGAAATTCCTGTAACACCATTTGTTGTCGTGGAGATTTGCGGGAAAAAGAGCCAAAACCAAGTGGTTGCTATGACACCAAGGTATGCAAGAAATTTAAATCAATGAAAAAATTCTGAAATTTTGATATTTCTCACCAAATTATGGAAATTTATATAGTCATTATTGATTTGTCAAATTAAAGGTCACAATAGATTCATCAAAAATGAAATTCTATATTTCACAAGTACATTTATATAACAGTGTAATTGATGTGTTGAAAAAGAGATCAGTAGAGAAGTATAAATGTCATTTCTTAATGTTTCAGGTGTCTGACTATGAAATGGCAGTCAATTTTCAGGCTGATATTATCAATGGGCCAACATTAGGAACTGGGTTACCTCCCTTTTCTTGGACACCAGAGTTTAAGCAGGCACATCTGGGTTTGCCTACAACCTATAAATTTGACTTTATGAGGACTTCTCCAAAATTCAAAACCCCATAAGAAACAATCCAGCCATATAGATCTATTTTTTTCTATCAATGATGCCCATCTTATTGTTCAATAGGGCAAACTTTATGATAAATTTAATTAAGGTACACATACCATTCAATTCATTAACAATCTCTTCCTAAATGGAGTAAGGAAAGATTAAGTTGCTGTGAAAATCATTTTAATTTCTTGTCTCTAGTGAGTGGGGAAATTTTGGGTGCCGATAATTTGTATTTTGGAACATAATCAAAATTAGGTTTTCATCCTTTTTAGCTCACCTGAGCCAAAGGCTCAAGTGAGCTTTTCTGATCAAAATTTGTCCGTTGTCTGTCGTCGTTGTTGTCGTTGTCGGCGTTGGTGTTGGCGTTGTTGTTGTAAACTTTTCACATTTTCATCTTCTTCTCAAGAACCACTGGGCCAAATTCAACCAAACTTGCCACAAAGTATCCTTGGGTGAAAGGGATTCAAGTTTGTTCAAATGAAGGGCCACACCCTCTTTCAAGGGGAGATAATTAGGAATTAGTGAAAAAATAATGGCATCATTTAAAAATCTTCTTCTCGAGAACCACTGGGCCAGGAAAGATGAAACTTATGTGGAAACATCCTCAGGTAGTGTAGATTCAAGTTTGTTCAAATCATGACCCCCGGGGGTAGGGTGGGGCCACAATGGGGGATCAAAGTTTTACATAGAAATATATAGGAAAATATCTTTAAAAATCTTCTTCTCAGGAACAGCAAAGCCATGATTGGTCATATTTATATGGAAGCATTCTCAGGTAGTGTAGATTTAAGTTTGTTCAAATCATGACCCCCAGGGGAAGGGTGGGGCCACAATGGGGGATCAAAGTTTTACATAGAAATATATAGGAAAATATCTTTAAAAATCTTCTTCTTAAGAACAGCAAAGCCATGATGGGTCATTTTTATATGGAAGCATCCTCAGGTAGTGTAGATTCAAGTTTGTTCAAATCATGACCCCCGGGGGTAGGGTGAGGCCACAATGGGGGATCAAAATTTTACATAGAAATATATAGGAAAAACTTTTAAAATTCTTCTTCTTAAGAACAGCAAAGCCATGATGGGTCATTTTTATATGGAAGCATCCTCAGGTAGTGTAGATTCAAGTTTGTTCAAATCATGACCCCCGGGGGTAGGGTGAGGCCACAATGGGGGATCAAAGTTTTACATAGAAATATATAGGAAAAACTTTTAAAAATCTTCTTCTTAAGAAGAGTAAAGCCATGATGGGTCATATTTATATGAAAGCATCCTCAGGTAGTATAGATTGAAGTTTGTTCAAATCATGACCCCCGGGGGTAGGGTGAGGCCACAATGGGGGATCAAAGTTTTACATAGAAATATATAGGAAAAACTTTTAAAAATCTTCTTCTTAAGAACAGCAAAGCCATGATGGGTCATATTTATATGGAAGCATCCTCAGGTAGTGTAGATTCAAGTTTGTTCAAATCATGACCCCCGGGGGTAGGGTGAGGCCACAATGGGGGATCAAAGTTTTACATAGAAATATATAGGAAAACCTTTTTAAAATCTTCTTCTTAAGAAGAGTAAAGCCATGATTGGTCATATTTATATGAAAGCATCCTCAGGTAGTATAGATTGAAGTTTGTTCAAATCATGACCCCCGGGGGTAGGGTGAGGCCACAATGGGGGATCAAAGTTTTACATAGAAATATATAGGAAAATATCTTCAAAAATCTTCTTCTTAAGAACAGCAAAGCCATGATTGGTCATATTTATATGGAAGCATCCTCAGGTAGTGTAGATTCAAGTTTGTTCAAATCATGACCCCTGGGGGTAGGGTGGGGCCACAATGGGGGGGGAGGTCAAAGTTTTTCATAAGAGTATATAGAAAAAAACTTTAAAAATCTTCTTTTCAAGATAAGCAAAGACATGATTGGTCATATTTATATGGAAGCATCCTCAGGTAGTGTAGATTGAAGTTTGTTCAAATCATGACCCCCGGGGGTAGGGTGGGGCCACAATGGGTGATCAAAGATTACAGAGGAATATATAGGAAAAAATCTTTCTCTCAAGAACAGAAAAGCCATGATTAGTCAAATTGATATGGAAGCATCATTGGGTAGTATAAAATGAAACATGTTCAAATGAGGGCCCCAGGGGGTAGGGTGGGGCCACAATGGGGGATCGAATTTTTACAAATGAATATATGGGAAAAAATCTGCTCAAGAACAGCAAAGTTATTTGTTATATTGATATGAAAGCATTGTCAGGTAGTTTAAAATCCCCCATCCTCCCCCCCCCCCCTCTCTCCCCCGTTAACTTTTCAATACTGAACTGATTTTTGCTTTTTTTCCTAGCCAGTGTGCTCAGGTGAGCGATGTGGCCCATGGGCCTCTTGTTTTTTTTATTTTCGTTTTGTTTGTTTTCCTCATATTCAATCAATTATAAGGTTGCATTTTTTCACACTAATGTACTGATGAGGGTAGGCTGCACTCAGTGTGTGTTTATGTCACCTGTATTTATCCTCTAGGTGTATGTCCCTGAACGTTCATATATTTACTTCTGCACTATTTAGATCAGATGAATTCTGCATAATTATCTTTAATTAACAAATCTCACAGAGGTGCAAAAGTTTTTCTCATTTATGCATTTTTAAAGGTTTTATTTTGAATTCACAGATAATAAAATATCAGTGTTGTGCATTTGCCAAAGTTAAAAAATTAATTAAAGAAACCTCAAACTTATTTACCTATGTACAGTAAATAATTTATAAACACAAATTGAAGAACTTTCAGAAGACAGTTTACCGTATTAATTTGGAATAAATGTTTTTGTCTAACTCAAATGTTTACAGTCAGATTTTAATTCAGTACTTGGCTACATATGTACTTTCACAATTAATATGTTATTTAAGTTTGTAAAATGGAATAACTGCCTTAATGTTGTATGTGTTAGAAATGTAATTGAGATTCATCGTGAAGGTATAAATTTTTGTAATATATTGCTATCTGTCATAATGCTGTGATATTATTTTCTTCTGTTTTGAAGTGGTGCCAATAGACAATGAATTTTGTCGGCTCGTTTGTTATTTATAAAATAGATCATTTAAAATTACCGACACTAATGGGCTGCTAATCAATGCAAGTGACAAAAACTTTACTTTTGACAGAAAAATTAATTACCTCAGCATAACCGAAGATAGACCGCCGCTTAAATTTTGACTAGAGATAGTTCCATTGTAGATTTGATAATGACATTTTTAGCTCACCTGAGCTGAAGGCTCAAGTGAGCTTTTCTGATCACATTTTGTCCGTCGTCCGTCCGTCCATCTGTCCGTCCGTCCGTCCGTCTGTCTGTCTGTCTGTCCGTCCGTCTGTAAACTTTTCACATTTTTGACTTCTTCTCAAGAACCACTGGGCCAATTTTGACCAAACTTGGTACAAAGCATCCTTGGGTGAAGGGGAATTTAAATTGTTAAAATGAAGGGCCAAGTCCCCTCACAAGGGGAGATAATCAAGAGAAGACAAAAATAGGGTGGGGTCATTAAAAAATCTTCTTCTCAAGAACCACAGGGCCAGTAAAGCTGAAACTTATATGGAAGCATCCTGGGGTAGTGTAGATTCTAAATTGTTCAAATCATGACCCCCGGGGGTAGGGCGGGGCCACAATGTGGAATCAATGTTTTACATAGAAATATATAGGAAAAATCTTTAAAAATCTTCTTCTCAAGAACCACAGGGCCAGAAAAGCTGAAACTAATGTGGAAGCATCCTGGGGTAGTGTAGATTCTAAATTTTTAAAATCATGACCCCCGGGGGTAGGGCGGGGCCACAATAGGGAATCCAAGTTTTACATTGAAATATATAGAAAAAATCTTAAAAAATCTTCTCAAGAACCATTGGGCCAGAAAAGCTGAAACTAATGTGAGAGCATCTTGGGGTAGTGTAGATTCTAAATTGTTAAAATCATGACCCCAGGGGGTAGGGCGGGGCCACAATGGGGAATCCAAGTTTTACATTGAAATATATAGAAAAAATCTTTAAAAATCTTCTTCTCAAGAACCACTGGGCCAGAAAAGCTGAAACTAACGTGGAAACATCTTGGGGTAGTGTAGATTCCAAATTGTTAAAATCATGACCCCCGGGGGTAGGGCGGGGCCACAATAGGGAATCCAAGTTTTACATTGAAATATATAGAAACAATCTTTAAAAATCTTCTTCTCAAGAACCACAGGGCCAGAAAAGCTGAAACTAATGTAGAAGTATCCTGGGGTAGTGTAGATATAAATTGTTAAAAGCATGACCCCGGGGGGTAGGGCGGGGCCACAATAGGGAATCCAAGTTTTACATTGAAATATATAGAAAAAATCTTAAAAAATCTTCTTCTCAAGAACCACTGGGCCAGAAAAGCTGAAACTAATGTAGAAGTATCCTGGGGTAGTGTAGATTCTAAATTGTTAAAATCATGACCCCTGGGATAGGATGGGACCACAATAGGTGTATTACATGTGGGAAAGTCTGGTGAAGAACAGCAGGGCCAAAGTTACTCAGGTGAGCGTTGTGGCCCATGGGCCTCTTGTTCGGGATTACGTTGGATGGGGTGTGTTGTTTGTGTTTTTCTAGACGATAAATGTTTTTGGGATGATCTACAGTGACTACAGAACTGAAGCTATTCCGGAAAAAAATAGATGTATTGTTTCATAACAGTGAGCTACAGATCTGCAGCTACATGTAGATCTACAGTTTTTTAGCGGTACAGTACAGAAACCATTTTCTGTTCACTAAAGAAGAACCAGGCCCATAGGAAGCGATTTCAGTTTTTAGCTCACCTGAGCTGAAAGCTCAAGTGAGTTTTTCTGATCACCTGTTGTCCGTCGTCCGTCCATCTATCCGTCAGTCCGTCTGTCCGTCCGTCTGTAAACTTTTCACATTTTCGACTTCTTCTCAAGAACCACTGGGCCAATTTTAACCAAACTTGGTACAAAGCAACCTTGGGTAAAGGGGAGTTTAAATTGTTAAAATGAAGGGCCAACTCCTCTTCAAAGGGGAGATAATCAAGAAAATACAAAAATTGGGTGGGGTCATTAAAAAATCTTCTTCTCAAGAACCACTGGGCCAGAAAAGCTTAAACTTATCTGGAA